TTTTTATTTTGTGCCAGTCGGAGTGAATCAATCACAGCTGAGAAATGTCTGTCTGACATCGTTGTCCCTTTCCAATTTATTGTCTCCGCCACCTCTGCAGGGAGCGCCTATGAGCGCTGCTCACCTTGAGATGTCTCCCCCCGGCTCTGCTGTGTTTTGTCATCCACGAGGGGGTCTTTAACCTACATAGGTAGCTACATTAGTGGGGCTAAAAGCACGCCGCAAACCTGGCTGGAAAGCAGCCAAGTCAGCAGCAGGACGTGAGAATCGCTGGATGTTGGACATGAGGGGGGGGGCAGCTTTCCTCAGGCTCTCTCCGAGCTCGTCCCCAAATGAAAGTAACCACAATACTGCTGCTGTGTTCCAGGCGCACGTCCTGTGATGACAGAGAGGAGGACAACGGATTAGATCTGATAAACGTCGAGCGGCTCCGCTCGTTTTATTGCTCCCTGGTTGCTTTTTGAATTAAAAAAAATAGATTTTGTTTTGAATGTGAAGAAAATTACCACTCTAATTAACAAAGCTGCCCGTGAGCTTTGTCGATGAGATGTTAAGTTCCTTCTTATGCAGCGTTATTTGAGGCACGGGAGGTGTTCTTCTAAAGGAGTATGAATCCAAAGTGTCCCATTTGGGATCCCAACAGCGTCGTTGGGTCTAAAGCGTCTCACTGTGCCGTCTGTATTTCGGCTCCACAAAACAAGAATCAACCTTTACCTCTTGCTCGTTGGTGCAGAGGGGGAAAGCTGCACGGTGCGAATGAGTTAAAGGAACCGAGTGGAGAGTTGGGGGTCGATTCTAATTGGGCCTCGGCCTGCAGCTGATTGCTGATAACGGTGCTGCTGACTTGTGTTACGCCGCTGTCGTCCGCCTGGGGCCTGATTGCAGCTTATCGGGGGCATTTACATTGATGGTCACCTTCTGCCTGCTGTGGCTGAACCCAGATCAGCCGTCCTTATCCACACTGTGGCAAGGAAAATCTGAAAAATGTTGTCAAAGCAATGTTTTCTTCTCCCTTGGGGTCGGAGGAGAGGTCGGGGGTCCCCGGTAGGTGTTGGGGGGGGGGTTGGATAACCGAGTTTCCCTTGGCAGCAGGCCCCGGATGTGTCACCGCTCATTGCGCTGCGCTCTTAAGCGCTTCCGAGAGAGCTCCCCTGTCCCCGCGCATCGCTTGCTCCCGCTAAAGACCAACCCGTCACCTGGAGGTTTTCTCCCGCGCAGATGTGGACTCCTGATTGGCGTCTTAAAAAAAGGGATTATTATCTTACCGTTTCTTCAATTGTCGTGTGCTGATTATATGAGGGAACGGTAATGATTACAGTTATAGGATTTAGCTTACGGCGGTTCAAACACCGAATCGTTTGGAGATCACCAAAGTCCAATGATCCGGTGTCATTGAGAACCACTGATCAAAGCACCTTCACTTAATAGACCGACTCATTGATCACAGGCCGTGGGGGGTCACCTCTGTCTCTGCGGTGCTCTTGGATTAGACGTGATTGAAGAGAGACGTGTCTGAAACATCACGGCGTGCCCATTATTATGTATTATTATGTTTGACACCCTGCAGTAGGGGCTGGCGTGCCTGCAGAGCGAGTGCATGTGATGCCTGGATTCTGTGTGCTGGTGCTCCATACGTACCTTAATTTAGTCATGAGATGTTTAATGCTTACCTATATTTGCACATTTTGGGGGGGGGTTATTATGTGTCTCAAATAAGTTGTATTCAAAACCGTGGGAGCGTGGCTGACAGTAAAGTGAGAAAGGGGATGTCGGGGAGAAGGGTGGAGGCGAAGGGAGTATAAGAGAGAAGTTGGAGGCTGATGAGTCTGTGTGTTAGTGAATGATGAGGTGTGTGATGGTACCTAATCTGCTGTCTGCGCCGTACAGTGCACATTCTGTGCTCTGAATGTGAATGTGATACGCTGGTGCAGAAAACTAAACTCTGCACCATCTTTGATAATTGGGACAGACTTTTTTACACCAGGAAGGTCACATTTTAAGTCAAATGCAGTATGGAAACCGTTTTATTGTTTAAACACAGCGATTCCCTTTCTTGTGTTATAGCTGGATGAGAAGATTTATGCTGTTCGGCAGGTACGAAGCCATTGGCAGCGGCTAGCTGACTTAGCTCGGAGTGGAAAACCCTCATCTTGACTCTGCCAAGATGACAGAATCCGCAGCATCTCACCAGGGCTCACCAATCCACACGTTGCATCTCGTTTGTCAAAAGCACAAACACAGGTGTTAAAGCAGGAATTTGCTGTTTTGCATTGCTTTGCCGAGTCCCACTGGTTGCCTGGCAACTGGCCCTGATCAGGGAAATGTGCCGCTTAACCCCAAATAAAAGAACAAATTGTTTTACACTCTGGTTTTTGTATGCATTCAACAATAAGTCAGTTCTCAAGATGAATAGTGAATAAAGAGCTGATTTTGCAACCTTGGGTCGGAGCCCAGATAGCTGTTTTACGGTCTTTATGCTAAGCTAAGGAGACGAGCTGCCAATGGGGATGAACATGAGCATCTTCTCAGTGTATTTACTAAATACAGTAGGGACAGTATTATTTATTTTGTAGTACCAGCCGTTAATTACTCCCAGAATGAAAATTCTTGACAGAACCCCTCTCCAGTTTCATAAAAGAGGCAAAAAAACACCACAAAAAGATGCACTTTCAAACACACTGACACAACTCATCAGACCAGCAACTGGTTTGTTCATCCCTCCTTTTTGTATCAACAAGAGTTTTAATGAAACATTCATTACAATCTTTAAAAGCATTAACTGAAATTAGCTTTCCTCAGATTTTGTTTGCATGCAATGGAACATTCAGATAACCTCGCTCTGAGCAAATGAAAACAACAAAGAGGTAATTGTGCAGGTGCAGCTGTAGACCAGGAGGAAGAGTTTTCATTAAGCTCAACATTAAATATTATTAAGGGACAGAATGCAATTTCAAACAGGGCTTATACTTGAACAGTAGGAAAAATGGCCAATGTTTGATAAATATTGATGACCAGTGAAGACCTGTGGTGCACTAGAGGATAAAGAGCCAACCTGTTTTTGTGCACTCTGTGCAAAATGATGAATCCGGATCCTGCTGCAGATGACAAGGGGGGGGGAGTCATTGAGGGTGACGTTTTTCTTTGGCAGCCGCCACTTTTTCACGGGGGTTTGCAGTCAAACAGATAGGCAGCGTGACAGGCCAGTCAATAGAAGTCAGCAGTGATTATGCAAGTTGCTTAGGCCTAATGAGAAAGGTCAGCACTTTGCCAAGAGGGTGGGACACAAGCCCAGTCTCACACTGAGATGTACAGAACACACTGCTGTGGAAAACTGTGCAGCACAAAAAACTGCGCCGGTTTGCTTTTTGGTGGATATGTTATTTTTGTGGAAAAGTGGCCATTTATAGAAGTGATTTCTTTTTGCATTATACAGTATAAATATATACATATACATATATATATATATTCTGTCTATAATGAGACAGCGGGACACATCTGTTGCATGGATGTCCGTCCTGGAAGGAGAATCCCTCCTGATGTTGTTCTTTGCAGGGTTTCTTACATATTTACCTAATAAAGTTTTTTCTGGTTGAGTTGTACCTCATCTAAAGGGTTTAAGAGCCTGCATGTCCGTCTTGTCCCCGGGGTCCCTGCTGTTCCACCAAAGTAGCAGTGTTTCTAACTCTTTACTCTTTACAGAAGCAACTGTGGCATTATTTTGTGCTTGCAGTAGTTGTTGATCAGTAAGTGGTAATGTTCAGCATGGGTTAATATATTGCTTTACATGCATTTTGCTCTTAATATCTGCAAATGCTTTTCACCCACCGAGCCATCGATCCCCTCTCATGCAGGAAAGGACTGTACATGGATAGATGGCGCACTGTGTTCATATACTGACAGAATGCAGATTTCAGTTCAATAGCACAAAGAGCAGCTCTGATGGAAGCCGTTCTGTTTGAAACAAATGTTTTTTTTTAATTTTACTGTCATTTTATTTCCATATTCCATACCCCCCCCCCCCTCTACCGCCCCCGGATTGAGCCAGCTTTGGTTGACAGAACAGCATCCTCTTTACACTTTATCTCCCTCGCTCATTGCTTTGATGTGTTGTGATTGCGTTGGTGTGCAGGGTGGGAGGGGTGAGAGGGATTGAGGAGGATGGGGGTGAGGAGAGGAGGGCAGGGGGGTAGCAGAGAAAAGCGTTCTGCAGTGAAAATGTGCTCCCACTGAAGCGTAGAGAGACTGCAGCACAGTGAACGAGCCTGTGCACCACCCTGCAGTTGTGTGCGCGCGCGTGTGTGTGTGTGTGCCGGCGTGCGTGCGTGCGTGTGTGTGTGTGTGCCGGCGTGCGTGCGTGTGAGAGGGAAATAATCACCCAAGACACAGTGATTCAACACCCCGCTCCTCTTCTGTCATCATCCATCCTTTCTTACTCTCTTCCCTCCTTTCGACCCAATTCTCCACGCGCGCCACAATCGTCTCAGCCCGTGCCCGCCGTGCACCGTGACGGCTGCTGCTGTGTGCGTATGTTGCGCATGCTGTTGTGCGTGTGTTCACTAGTATTCTCTGCTCAATTTTCTCAACCCCCCCCCCCCCCCACCCCCTTTCCCCCATCCTTCTCTGCGACTCTCTGCTCCCATTCTCCTGGTGTCTCTCATCCATCCATCTTGACTCGTCCATGCACTCCTGCAGCCCGTTCCCGTGCGCCTGCACCTCTCCGGTGATCACTACTTGATGCGCACGGTCGTGCACACTGGCCTCAACTCCGAAATACAAAACACTGGATAAAAACCCTCAATCTGTCGTTCTCAGCAGAAAGCTTTCCCGTTTCCCATCTTTTCTCTCTTTCTCACTCTCTCCTTCCAACCGTTTGTATCCCCCCCCTCACCTCCCCCCCTCCCCTCCTCACTCTTTCGCTCCCCTCCTCCCGCGCTGGCTGAGTAAGTGCTGCAGCATCAGTGCGTGTGTGTATGTGTGAGAGAGAGCGAGCTGCACAGAGCAGTGAAGGGAGAGAGGCGTGTGTGTGTGTGTGTGTGAGCGCGATGCACCGGGGATCCTGAGCCTGGAGGGGAGCCGTGTGAACAGAGAGGGGGGCTCTTCAGCATGTGGATGTATGCGCAGCAGGGGCATGCTTTTTTTTTTTGCAGGCGAGGGTAAATGCGTGTGTTAGTGTGTGTGTGTGTGTGTGTGTGTGTGAGAGAGAGACGAGGGGGTGTGGGCATGCCAGCGTGTGTATGTGTAACAGTGTCGTCGATCAGCGACGGGCTCTTGGCATTACGCAGCCGACGGTGCTCATCACACTTTGAGGACTGACTCATCCCGACCGGCCGGTGGAGACAAGAGGAGACCGACGGGAGAGGAAGACGGATGGGTGCAAAGACAGGAGGACAGTTTTAGGCTGTCGATGCTTTTGGGTCCCCCCCACCCCCGGACCACCCAAAAGTCTACTCCGTTTCTGGGACGCCACCAGCAGCTTCTCACCAGCCTCCCTTGTCCTCCCCACCCAAATTGGAATTGGCAGACAGGTGTAGCAAAAATTGCCCAAAAACCCATGAAAGAATAATAAATCCCCATTTGACATCCAAATTGCAGAAAGGTTTTAAATCCATTCCTGCTCCACGGAGAGAAGAGGGTCTCTGGACGCTTTGGGGTCTCTTGTTCCGTTTGACATCTTTATTTTTTACGTGGAGGGAAGGTGGGTTTGGAGATAAGAGGCTGGCCGACGAGACGGGACAGACGCAGGCATGGCTCGCCTCAACTGGTGCCTAGCTGCCGTCATCAGCTGGGGCAAGTTCCTCTTCGCCTGCTTCTTTCCTCTGCGAGGGGCAAAGCGAAACAAGGTAAGGCTTCACAAACGGGGGACTGGGAGACTGAGTCGGGATTCAGTGGACGTAGACGACGAGTTCTGTACATGTCGTCTCGCATGCCTCTACTTCAACGCACGCAGATGGCTCCCTCCTGCGATAAATGCCAAAACGTGTACACCTGGAATGAACTGTACGTCGGCCCTGGCCTTGTTGTCAGTCATACCACTCATCCATTACATGCGGACAGACGGTTTTACCCAAGTGACGTAGCTGCGTAAAGGAGCTTTGGCAGCTGGTATAGGACCATAACCTAACCCCTGGCAGACAGGTTGGTCTCCCTCTAACTGCTGATTCAAGGTCAGTGTTATATCCCCAAGGGTCCCCAGCGCACCCTCTCAGGTGGAAAAAAGATAAGAACCCTGAAGTTCCTCTTTATGGATGTCCCACCAGACCCGGGGCACCCACAGCACCCACTGAAACAATTAATGTTTCCTCCTAAAACATAGGCTCACCTTGCGTTGCAACAAACAAAATTGACGCCCAATTTAAGGGGAGGGGGGGGGGGGGGGGGTCGCATTTTCCCATGAAAGAACTCGCCCCCACCCCTCCATCCATCTCCTACCATTGCACGTCATGCGATATTTGTTGGTCTTTGGATGAGGGCTGCAAGTCTTCCTTCCCCTGCGCCATATTCCGATCATGGCATGTGCATCAGTGAGAGGCCCATTGGAGTTCCTCGAATGGCATCATCTGAACTCGTCTTCTTTGTGTGCTTCCCCCAGAACAATTGTTCAACAAAACACGGAACGCAAGCGTTGCATCTCTTTTGTGCTCTTCTTTAGCTGCCAGTCAATCATGTGTAGGAACTAAATGGCACGATGTCCTCTCACGAAGCCACTTACACACATGAACAGACACCAGAACGGCACCTGAGGTCATCCTGTGTTGAATCGGGATGGGTGCGCTCATGTGTGGAGTTAATGTTTTTCTATGTGTTAACACAATGAGCATCTTGAGAACAATCGTCCAAAGGCAGGATCCACCGACCAAATCCACCCCAACATGACGCACCCTCAGCAGTTACTGTGTGGAGTTAGCCCATGAAGTAAAGACACTTTTTGGGACTCCCTTGTGTCCTCGTACCCGCGTACCTTTTCATCCTCACTGCTGGCTATGTGTTGTTGAAAACCTAAATCTCAGTCACAAAGGTCTGAAACTCGATCGCCCGCTCTCTGCGTATGCCGAGCGCTCGCACCGTCCAGCTGCGATGGCATTTTTGCTTGTGGCGACGCCAAGGCGTGCAATGCTGCAGCCGCCAGTCTCTTCATGCCCCAACACCCTCCCCAACACTAGCGGCAAATCCCACCCCCCCCCCACCCCGCCCCAATGCCGCAGCTCCTTTATCTCTACACCCGCGCTATACTGCACCACACTTCCCACGTCGGACTGTTTCATATGTCGTGTGAAGTGGGTGGAGCACAGAACAACCACATACTGTCATTATATATCTCCTCAACCCCATGCAATGAATCCTCAAGCCATTATGTTCGTTCAGTCACAGCTCTCGCTCAGCCTGTCATCTCGGCATTGGCTTTTATTTTTTTCCCTCAATCTAGAAAGAGGTCCCTTTAGCTTGATTTTTTCCTCTTAGAAACACTCACAGTTTTTGCATGTTTTGGGTTGACTCATCTATGTAGAGAGATGTCAGAGAGAATGTTTTTTTTTTACGACTTTAACAGGCTTATTGGAGAGTTTGTTGACTGAAAACCCTTTTCCTGTTTTAATGTCAAGGGTTTAGCCGGTTATTACACGACTGTCGCCTGATCGACATGCTCTAACTGGATCGTAGGCCTCCCCTCAAACCACTTTAGCAAGTACACCATAACAAATTCGTTTCATTGTACGAGTAGGACTCTTTGCAGTTTAAAAGACAACCGCTTTGGCGTGTCGCTCCAGCTGCAGGCGCTGATCATGTGACCGACTGGGAGGTGAAAGTGGAGAGGTAAGGCGCTGTGTCTTCCCTCCGAGGACCGCCGCGAGGTGTTTAGTTTCCATGGCAACGCAGCTCGCACTGTCCCCCCCCTGATAGGGCAGTTACAATGGCAGACGGGCTCGGAATATTGTTGGCATGTGTGCGCGTGTTTGACTACGAGTGCGTGGCGGTATTGCAAGAAGGTGATCAGGGAGGTGGAGGGATGATGTGTTCAGGTTCTCTCCAGTTGTGTTACTATGGTGACACTACTGTCTAACGATCAAAGGGTAACTCTCCTCCTCATATCCTGCCGTCTCTTCTCTCTGATTTTTATTCCTTTTGTGTCTTTTCTTTTCTGGCCTCTGTGCTCCTTCTTCTCTTGTGTTCTGATCCTTTTCTTTTATTCCATGTAATTACCATTTGTCCTTTAATCTCCTGTCCTTCTCACTTTCCTTTGTTTTCCATCCTCCATCTAGTTTTTTTCTTTCTACTGATTGTTTCTCCTGCCCTTTCTTTTACTTTCTATATCTTTCCTTTTTATATCACTCTTTTTCCTCTTTTGCCATTTCATCTCTTCTCTTCTAATCATTGTCTTTGTCTTCTCTTTTCCCCCTTTCTTAAATTTGAATTCTCCTCCTTGCCTTTATGTTCCGTGTCCTTCCCTTTCTTCTATGTTATAATTTCCTTGCCTTTCTGTATTTTATCCACCTGTTTCATCAGTCTCCTCCAGTATTATGTGTTTACTTGCCTCCCTATTCATTTAACTAACGTTCCCCAGGGCAGTGAATTCACATCAGGCATTTCTGCAGCGGACAAAAGAGAAGAGGGTGATGGGAAACCTGTCTGCTGAATAGCTCCTTATTCTCTCCCTCTAGATTGCCTCTCCAGCATGGGCATAAAAAGCTCCTGATTGCTTGTTGTATTTATCACACGCTCCCAACCTACCTTAGGTGATGCCGCCCGTTTGTGTCTAGCGGTGGGAGCGCGCCGCACCCGGAGCATTGCAGATCTCTGCCCTGAATGGCTCGCTGTATTCTGGGCAGGCGTTCAGAATGATGGATGCCTTGTTATTTTAGCATTAAAGCTTTAATGTGATGGATTCTCCAGCGACAGAGGATGAGGCTGCAGAGTCAATGTGGAGGGCTATTTTTCTTTTCTCCCTCCTCTCTTCTCTGCTAGCACTTTTCTATAATTTGAGCAGCACATCTACAACCAAAGTATTTCAACATCTTGGGTGTTTTTGTGTTGGTGGAGCTGGTGATCAAATATTACTCTGTGTGCCTTTGTCAGTGTAGGTACACACAAGTTCTTCCACCCTTGAAATAGAAAGAGGGCTGCTCGCATCATTAGTCGGGGCTTTAATGGGGACTTTTAATGTCCCGCGATGGACTTAACTCCCTTTTCCGTGAGTACAATTCTGTGGGAAATAAAGTGTAAGCGTGTGTGTGCTTGTGCCCTCCCTGGCTGTGTGTTTTCGGGGAGTTCTGGCCTGTCGCTTTGGGAATAAGGGAACAAGAACCTGACCTCACTGTGCAAAAATGTTACTGAGAAAACACACCACTCCCAATAGCAAACCCAAAAGCGATGCTTTTTCACAGTAGTGCACGATTATTCAGGCTGCATCCGCACAGGCGAAAACACGAGAGGCATGCGTGAGTTGTATATTCATAAAAGCTGCCTTTTACCTGTCTGCAGAGACAGTCTGAGGGTTGGTTGGAGGCCACTAGAGGCTGCTAGCAACCCAGTTCAGACCAGTTGGCTGCATGGAGAAAGTGGCTGTCTTGTGTCGACCACAGCAACCAAGTCCATTTAAAAAGCAGTTCAGAAGTGCTGCAACTCAACCAGTCGCATTTCCCCAATGCGTCCACATTGTGCTCTTTGCTGACATTATGTTGATGCGAGTACACACGGAAGGGACACACACACGGATAATGTGTCAGGTTAGCCTATGGATTGAGGTAACCGTTCCAGAGGACGTGATGGAGTGCAGCAGAGATCAATAGAGGGTGTTTTCTCAAAATGAATTGGCTCTTAGCCCTTTATGGATCTGACTGTGGAGTGATGTAATGTAGCCGCACCGCTGATATAATGTTGATTCAGAGCTGTACTGGATATAGATGTACACATGCACATTGCAATCCCTCAACACATGTGTTGTGTGCATACATGAATGTTGCAGGCATGCACACAGACGAGCCACTGGGTTGTGTTATGGCCAGTTTACGAGTGTCTGTCTTTTTGGGGGTTCTTACGGAAGTGTAATACTGAATATCAGAGAGAGTTTTAAGAAGAAGTTACGTGAGGTTTCTCTCTAAACTTAAAGGACGTCACCGCTTTTACTGCAAGGAGACAAATGATGATCCTAAAAATGTCCTTTTTAGTGAGCATGATACTCATGTGCAGCTGTAAATGCAACGTCTGTATGTGATGAGCTTCTGTTTTCTACTCGCTCCCACAGACTTTTACAGGCAGAACACAATTATCGTCACAATCACTATTTGACCGACCGCTCGGCTGCGTCACGGCATCTGTCGAGGCCGACAAACATTGCTGAAGGAAAAGCGAAGAGATCTTGAAATAGGAAGGGGTCGCCGATAAAAAATTGAAAGGACATTAGTGCAGACACGAGCGAGCATGTTTGCACAGGAGAGGTGGAGGGAAGGGGAGGTGAGGCAAGGGGGTCAATGAGTAGTGTGTGTGTGTGTGTGTGTTAAGGGAGAAAAGGGAAAGGAGGGACTAAAAAAGGCTGATTTGAGGAGAGGGGAGGTTTGAGAGGGAAAAAGAAAAATACTTGCCTCCCCCTCTCCTTCAAGGACTAAAGTAACCACCCTTCAGGAGGGACAGAGAGGAGAGTAGAAGTGAGGGAGAGAGAGAGAGAGAGGGAAGGACCGGAGTGGAGGAGAGAGCCAGCAGCATAGGGAGGGAGCTGAGATGGGGGAGACTGACTAAGGCCATCAGAGAGGGAAAGCGAGAGCAGCGCTCCCTTCCTCACCCCGTGTGCACCGGAGCTGTCTAGCATGCATTTGTGTGGCCAAAGCCTGCGCCGAGCCGCCGGGAGCTC